TAACTTAAAAATTCAAAAAATTATGAAACTTTGGTAATATAAAGAATATAAAGAATATAAAGAATATTCTCATATGTATTAGGTGTACAACTTTGCTTCCGCCGTTTTCCTAGATAGCTTTAGCGGTAAGTGGTCGAAATAAATAGATCATAGACGTCATACAATAAACTTGGGCATCTGTCAACATAACTCCATAGAAACATTAGTCGATTTGTGTCTGCATCATAAAGTTATTCTCGATTGAAAATCGATGTCAGTTTACGAGCAAAATTCTCGTTTGCAGGAGGTTTTAATTTTTTGCTTTAATATGACGAAATCTGCGGCTAAGGCTCATCGAATGCTCTCAAATATTTATGGTGAGGCCGCTATTAGTGAAAGAATGTGTCGTGAGTGGTTTCAAGAACAGTGATTTAAACGTCGAAGACTGGCATAGCGGTGGAAGAGAGAAGGTTTTCGAAGATGCAGAAGGAATTGGAGGCATTACTTGAGCAAGACTCGTGTCAAAATCAAGAAGAATTGACACGATCATTGGGAGTGACTCAACAAGCCATTTCAAAACGCCTCAAAGCCATGGGAATGATTCAGAAGCAAGGAAATTGGGTGCCGTACGAATTGAAGCCGAGAGATGTTGAACGGCGTTTGTTTGCTTGTGAACAGCTAAAAGGCAAAGACGGAAGGGATTTCTGCATCGCATTGTGACTGGGGACGAAAAATGGGTTCATTACGATAATCCCAAGCGCAGAAAATCATGGGGAGTTCCCGGCCATGCTTCCACGTCGACGGCCAAACCGAATATTCACGGCTCCAAGGTCATGCTCTGTATTTGGTGGGACCAGCTCGGCGTAGTGTATTATGAACTGTTAAAACCGACTGAAACAATCACAGGCGATCGGTATCGAACGCAATTGATGCGTTTGAGCCGAGCATTGAAAGACAAACGGCCACAATACAACGAGAGACACGATAAAGTGATTTTGCAGCATGACAAGGCTCGACCCCATGTTGCGAAAGGGGTCAAGACATACTTGGAAACGTTGAAATGGGAAGTCCTACCCCACCCGCCGTATTCTCCAGACGTTGCTCTCTCTGACTATCATTTGTTTCGATCAATGGCACACGGCCTGGCTGACCAGCACTTCCGGTCTTATGAAGAAGTAAAAAATTGGATCGATTCGTGGATAGTCTCAAAAGATGACTAGTTTTTTCGACGCGGGATTCGTACGTTACCCGAAAGATGGGAGAAAGTAGTGGCCAACGATGGACAATACTTTGAATCATAAATGTATAATCAGTTTTTTACAATAAAGCCTCGAATTTCGGAAAAAAAACGGCGGAAGCAAAGTATTTTTGTACACCTAATAATAAAAATAATTTTCTATTGTAAGGTCTTAAATGGATAAAATCAATATCTGAAAATTGGTCTTGCTTTCGTTTTTATACATTTTTTTATAATTATTTAAATATTTGTTTAAAGGAGTTTTTATTTTCTAATCAATAAATTTCATTAAAAGAAATAAGTTCTCTTTAAACATTTTTTATTATTTCCTTTTGTGAAGTTAATATTCAAGGATTGATTTTACTTTAGGATGAATTCGAGCAATAAAAAAATAAGCGTATTACACATCAGAATATCCGCTATGTATACAACTAAAATTTCATAATTTTGTAAATTTCTAACGAGAGACGTTCTCTTATACATCAAGTAAACGAGAATAGATTAAAAAAAACTGATATTTTAATCCATTTAAATCATCCAAGTGTATACTTTTTAGTAGCATTCAAAATTTATATATTTTTAATTTTCAAATGGATGGAAAAACTTTCTTTATATTTAATTAGATTTTGAATTGAGCAGTATTCACGATGCACTTAAAGAACTGAAATTTTTTTCAGATTAAAAGGCATAAAATTGTGCTTTATGCAATTCTTTATTTTTATAAATAAATGCATTGAGATGAAAGGATTCAATTAAATCTTTTCGAATGCATACTTCTGAAAATTTGAATCAATTTCAATTTATTCTTATTTACTGGGTAATTTCTAATTTTAACAATAATAATTTTTAATTTTATATGTATTGATAAAAGTTATGAAGAGTATACTTAGATAGCGTTCAGGATACTTCAGAGGTATATGAGGCTTCTGAAAACCAACGGCAAGAAAGAAAGGATTAACATTTTTTTTGTGTTCGTTTATAAATCTTCTCGCTTCTCGTAATGTCTCGAGATCAGGTAATGTTTTGTTTGGCATAGTCGAGATTCGTACCGGGCATATCTGTAAATACGATATATTAGAAGTATATTTTCGTGTGAGTTATAACGTAAAAAAATATTGTACGTTACGAGATTCATTGCCACTTTTGATTGCGGAACCATCCTACAAACCGGAGCATTTTTGTACCGATCTGTATACGGATGGAAAGGTTTTTCGGTCCATGAGTAGGGACTGTCATCAGATCCGTTAGAACTTATACCTGTACGAAATGTCACTTTTCAGGTGTCAATGGACTGTTGTTAATTACATATATACATATATGTACATTTAAAATATAAAATATCGCAACAATCTTGCAGCAATATTATTTTGAAAGCTAGATTATAATATTTTATAAAAGATTTACACATCACTAGATTTTAAAAATGCTTTGCATCATCACATGCGAAAAATCATTGAAATTTCATTGAATATCTCCTCTCACTTATCGCGTCCAGTATGCAGTAGAAATAAGCCTAGATCTATAGTAGATGTTTTAAGCTGTAAGAAATTGACTAACTACTACAATCGAATGCGAGGAGAATAATCTATTATGATTCATTCGGAAAAATAAATGGCAAATGAAATGTAAAAATTCGTTGTAATGTCGGTGGTAATATTTCCATATCTCTAAAATGATCGTTGGTGCGCTAGTATAAGAGCTTCTGATGGTTTGACCGGCGTTCTCAGATCAGCTTTCTATTTATATTCAAGCAGAAAAGATCCCAGATAACATTTATGTTGCATTCAAGATATCTGAAAGACATCTTTTATATATCTTATGTCTAAAAAGCATTAAAAGACATATCTGTTAGATATCTTATGCAATATGTATGTTATCTGCGTGGGATTTATGAGAAGCTCCACACAATCAAAGAAATAAAGGAGACAGAGAATAAGAATTTCAATCTATCAGGAACCATGTACTGTTGAGTACAAAGTATTTGATAAGATTGAAATTCTTATTCTATATTCTCTATACTTTCGATTGTGCAAAGCCCCTAATACATTTCTGTACCTGGATGAAACACTTTTCCTATGGACATCGTGGTATAACCATTATTTTTCAGGTGTTCCGGCAATGTAGTGTAATTACCCACCACGTCGCGCCAGTAACTGTAAAAATCGTAAAGTCGAAGGGTATCCGGTCTTCTGCTAGTCAGAAAGGAGTTTCTACTGGGTGCGCATAATGCTTGCTGCAAAATATGATCATTCGTTTTTTATATATATATATATATAACTATTTCGCCTTTTCTCTCTCGAATATATATATATTTTTTTTTGAAAGAGAAAAGGCAAAATAGTTCAAAGATCGCAAGTTAAAATAATTTTGTAAAGAGCACAGACCTGTGCGAATGCTTCAGTGAAAACGATGCCATCCTCAGCCAAGGCATCTATATTTGGTGTATACGCATTGGCGTCACCGTAGCATCCCAGAGTAGTCCTCAAATCATCTACAATGATTAGCAAGATATTCGGATGCGCGATGATGACAACAACATTAAATATCAGCACAACTATCATAATATTAAAGCAGGTTACGGAAAACATTGTGTAATCATTGATGTATGCAGCTTAGAAAAAAATGCTTTCGATGATATATTAAAAAGGTATTCTCGTTCTCTTTATATATGCAAGAAAATCTGCAACAAAGAAAAAATTAAATATATAGATTGGTTGAAGTTATCAGATAGCAAAATGTTTTAGAAAAATTCGGAAGATAAAAGAACACAAGATAAAATTCAAAAAGTTAATAATTAATATTAATAAGGAAAAGCAAAAAGATAATTTTCAAAATGAACTAAAGAATGAAATAAAGAATTTTAAGATGTATGAAGAGAGAGACAAGAAAAGTTAATGCAGTTGCACAGAATGAATCATTATTCGAATATCTATGTTTAAAGAATAAACGTGATAATTTAATTAATAACAAGAACAAAAAATTAAAAAATCCGACACTTACCTTTAATTCATCAGGTAGTCCTGTTAGTTAAGATAAACGAAAAGATATAATCATCAGAATTATAATCAGCATCAGAAACCAAAATTCCTATCAGTGGGGAAAATAACAATCGTCAAAAGTCCTGTCAGTCTGGATAGACAAGAAGATCTTAATTAACAAAACAGAAGCCCTGTCCAAGAAAAGTTCAATATTTAAAACAGATCCTGTCAATTAATTTGAATGGACGAAAACAAAAGATAAAATCCAGTAGTTACATCTAAAACAAAAAGAAAAGAAATTAGAAATAAAAGGTAAGTTGTCAAAATAATTAGTAACAGTATGTATATAATAAATCCTAATAAAAGACAGAACATACAGAAAATAGTAAAATTGATGAAGAAATGGCAACCGAAAGTTATAAAATTATAAATTTCGATTCTTTCAACATCGATTCTTCTATAAAAGAATCGATTCAAGAATGAGAGAAAATACGAACAAGTATAAGAACCTAAATTTAAAAGTATATATATATAAATTAAGATTCGTTAATATAATATTATAAATAAAATAGAAATATTTATAAAGTATAAATAAATTAATATAATAAATATAAATAACAATATTTGTAAAAATAAAAAAAAAAGAATATAGATTTCGAATAGAGATTGGAAATAATATAGAACAAAATAACAGCGAGCACCAATCAGATTGCACGATACACAAATCGATAGAAAAGGATATGCGACATCTGTGTGCGATACCTACCGAGCAGTGCAGCCACACGTGTAAACAATCCGCAAATTATTAAAGAAAACAAGTGCAACCTATGCAACAGTCTCATTCGAACACTCGAGAAGAATGCGAACATTGCGCAAGTTTATCACAATGACCGAACAACATGAAAAAACATTCAAATCCCTATCAGAAATGAGAAAGGAAGAAGAAAGGCTACTCAATGAAATCGAGAATAGAATAAAATCACGTGAGCGAAAACGATGTTTGAGAAATGCAGTAGAAAATAGAATTAAAATATTACGCGAATTCATACGATCGATGTCGCCGACCTCGGAAGACGAAGGAACTGACGAAGAGGATTTGAATCATATAGAAGATGAAAGTAACAAGAGGGACATCCGAGTCACCCGACTAATCAATGAATATTGCAAGGCAAGTAATAAGAAACACATCGGTGATACATACCGATACGAAATAAAAAGCATTACTGGCGAGCCATTGTGCCGCGTAACGACAGCGTTTTTAATACAAAAATATCCAACGAATGAACCAGAAAAAAAACGAGCATATCGCATTGTTAACGACGTAGTTGAAGGCGAAATTTATAGATACGCATACGAAATTACCCCCCAAGACGCGATTCAATTCCAACAAGATATGCGGACGCAATCAGGAGAATTAAAAGACTTGCCACTCTATTCGCAGACACAGAATCAACCGGTAAAAATCGAAATAACAAGTCAACCATCCACAAATGAGGTACAATGACCAAAATTTCCATATGAAGTCATTTCAACAAATATAGAAAAGTCAGATAAAGATTATTCGCTGGCACAGAAAAAATCGACAAATAAACGGGCGATAAATATTAAAACATTAAAACAAAAGTTAGATGCTTTGTACAGGAAAGGAAGACTAAAAAAGAAGGCAAAACAATCAATGCTTCAAGACCAACTAGATTGTGAGACGAGAATTAAGATTCTTACTTTTAATAATAAATTAAATAGAAACGATAGAATAATTTTAAATATAATCATACATTTTTAATATTTTCTCATTTTTATAGCAAGCACATTGACCATCGTTAAACAATGTACTCAGAACCTGGATTCGCCAAGTTCTTCACAAACGATGAGTTTATGATAGTTCTCATTTGCTCGGACGATTCAACATTGGCGATGTCAGCAGTTGTATTGGATAAAATCCCAGTGTCAGAAATTCTGCCAGAGTAAATTTTGAAGGGTATATTCTTTATTTCCGTTGGAGCCAAACATTCAGAGAGTACCGGAGAATAAATATCAAAAGAATAAAGATAAAAAAAAGCAAAAAAATGTAAATTAGAGTTAAGAAAAATATTTGTGGTAAGTGAAAAGTGAAACCAAATTTTATTTTATAATCATAAATTAAGTTGTTTTATAACATTTTAATTCCTTTAAGATAAAGATATTTAAAGATACAATGCTTTATAATATTTTGTAAGCGATGAAGAACGATAAAATATATATCTTATTTTAAATACGTTCTAAAAATCTCCCAAATAATTAAAAGACAAAGCAATAAATAAAGTTAGTTAAAGTCAGGAGATTTAAATTTTATATTATTGCAATGGTTACGTTATTAACTTCACTAAAGATGATTTTTTAAGTTGCAGCAATGCCCTGGAATCTAAAAATGAAAAGAAATAAATGAACAATAATAAAATAAAAATACTGAGATCCTTGTCAACTGCTTTTTCCGTTAAATCCATTAATATAGACAGTTTGAAGATTATCCCATGAAAAGAAACTAAATTTTAACTATTTATATTTTAAATCTGAGATTCGCGCTGTAGATGGCGTAGCAGACTTTTAATCGCGTTCTGCTTCACTACCAGTGTTGAAAACCCATATAATATATGTAATATATATTATAGATTTTCAATATTGGTACTGCTGGTAGTGAGTACCGGAACGCAGCCACAATTCATTGGTGAAAAAACGATAGATCAGCCTCCAAAAATATTAGCAAAAAATAACCGATATTTTAGAAATTCGTAAAAATCACGCGTCCCTACTCCGCTTACTCGTGACGCTCGAATTTCGCTTCGATTTATCTCGATCGTTCGCCATTCCCGCCTCTCTGTCCTACGGAGTAGACCTACCTGTCGAATCAGCTGATTATTGTTTTCGTTCTTCTGATATGGAGCTGAACGTAGTAACGGTGCAGCGAAGCGTATATTATATATATGCCTAATCCGCGCGTTCTCATCCGTTTCTGTTTCCGAGAAACTAAGAAATCACCGAGTCTTTCTCCCTTCCTTTTTCTCCTTCATTCCTCCATTGTCTACGTGTGCGTGCGAGGGAGAAGGACGGAATACGGACGTGCGTGTATTGTACATGTCGTAGTCGCTTCACGGTACCCGCCGTGCCAGCAGCGAAAACCGCGAGAGGAACGGCCAAGCGTAGGAAAGGACGCGAGAGAGAAGAGAGCGAAGTATCGGCGCGCGGTTGTGAAATCGCCCGACTTGAGAGAGACTCCCGTCATCCGTCAGCGTAAAACTACGGCGGAGGTATCGTTCCGTCGTGCTACTGCTGTGTCTTCTACTTTCCCGCAAGGGGAGACAGAGGAAAATTTATATCCGACGCTACGAGGAGAACATCCGTTCCGTGTGCGCGATTACGTGACATCGTAGTCATTGTCAATTATTATTACTATCGTTCGTTGACTGTTAGTTGTTCGCGGAAAGTAAAATGACGCAGTAGACAGGAGAGGACAACGACGGCGGTGACGCGCGCGCGGAGTGCAGTAGTGGGCTGTCTCTTTCTCTCTTTCTCTCTCTTTCTCTTCCTTCGACAATGGGAAAATACGATCAAGTTTTGTGAAGTAAGTGTTATATACGGTAGAATCGATTCCGATTTTCCCGATATATTTTGTGTTTCTGTCGTTCGATAGTAATCTGCTCTGCACAAATGCGACAATAAAGACACGGCCGCGATAAGCGAGGCCTTTCCTTTGTTCTTCCGATGATTGCCTTTCTATCCCCCGCCTCTTTCGTATCTCCGCGCGGTCCGAGGACGTCGCTTTTTTAACGTGGTTGCGTAAACCGCTCGCGGAGTACGTCATATTTGCGCGTCTGAATCAGTCCGTCCGTGTTTGTTTTTCCAATTTGGTTTCTCTATGTTTCGCGGTGGTTCACCGAGGTTCCGTTCGCCTGCACTTTTTGCACTCGGCATCCTCGATTTCTCTCTCTTTTCAAATACCCGAATATATATTTATCGCATTTTAAGCGATAAATATATTTGGGAATTTTAAATAAAGAGATCTACGCGGTCTTGTTTACAGATGCGACACAACGAACGTTCGGTCGCGAACGCCCTTCCCCGTTGATTGTCCCTGAACGTGCAATTCGCGCACAGCCAACAGCTGTGCGCTGCGTTGTGCAATGCAACGTTTCCCTCTCCCTCTCCCCCTCCTTTTCACTCTACACGGCTGACAAAATAGACTCCCCCTTCCCTTCCCGCTCCATCCCGTTTCGTTCCGTCAGCCGTCGTCAACACTGTCGTACCACCACTATTATACGGATAGCCCGATACGCTTTCCTACTTTTCGTGCGTGTTGAACGTGTTGAATAATGCATCGCGTGACGACGACGATGTCGACGATGACGGCGCTTCATCGAACATTCCGAATTTTAACAACGACGATCGCGCGACGGCGGCGTCGCGACGTACAGTAATCAAGTCCGCGAAATTGTCGAGTGACTACGAACGGGTGCACTTTGGGTTCTTTGTCCTCCGCGCAACGATTATGCGAACGTCGCGCTTCACACCCGTCGTCGTCTCGTCACGCGAATAATTTCCTTGCTCTCTCCTACTGGTGAGTGCGTCAGGACGGGAAGGTCAGGTTTTATGTTCCATATTCAGAGCATTCTCTAAACGTCCTCGGATTGCTCTGTCCATTTGCGATAGAGACGCGTATTTGGCAGGAATTCTTTGTTTCCTTTATCCTTGCTTATCGATGTTGCGAACATCGCGCGATATCAAGCCTTTTCTTTCTATATAATAGCTTTCTATATAATAGCTTTTGTAATTTCTGTAGAATCACTTATTTGTATTTTGAAGTTATCTATAAGAATATTGAGATAAGGTTTTTAATTGTAAATTTTATATATCTCGATATAATTGTCTTTCAAACGCAAGTTTCTGATTTTTTAAGTCATCAACAAGATACAAGTTTACTGCGGAGATTTTGACTATCGTGTGATATTTAAATGTTAAGTTTAAGTTTAGATGTTTAAGTGTTTAAGTTTAATAGTGTTTTTGATTGTAATGAGTTTGCATCATCCTGAATTGAATATTGTATGCTTTGCTATTGATAGAATATGTAATGTCAACCAATAGTAGAGCATTACTCTACTATTCCAGGTTGGTAGAAACCAACTACAATTGAAAATAAAAATAAATTAATTATTTAATTTACATATAAATACTAATATCTTTTATTATCTTTTTGTATACATTAACAACTTGTTTATTTTATATGGTAAAATATACAAGCTTTTAATAATTGAAAAGATAGATCTTCTACTCAAGATTTTATTATCTTTATAGATAAATAAAACTCTAATTTGGCAATAAAAAATGTCTGCGGAATCACCAAGACGAAGTGCGCATAAAGGAGCTCAAATCGTTTCACCTCAGCCCATAGTAGATCGATCAATCATTGATAGTGTTGCTGGAATCATAAATGATATAGTACCACAGGTATATAAGTTAATTAAAATGGTTTCAATATTATAATTCAAGTGTACTATGTTTGCAATTACACATAGGGATATGCCGGAGTATCCAATTCTGATAATAAGGAAACCATATCATGGGCGCGGTTTGAATACGCAGACATAAATGACCCAGCTTTATATCCTGATTATAATGAAGGTTCCAGTACACCACCGTTGTTATTAGTATTAGGATACGCGGTTGGCGTTCAGGTAAATATTATGTTAGAATGAAATATATATATTTTTTTAGTTATTAATGTTTAGCATATTCACTTCTTTTATCGGATTTAAGTTTTTGTTATTCAATTGTAACAGTTACCGATTTTTGTAAATGCAGGTATGGCTGATAGCAGCAACGGGAGAGGCAACGGAGATTCTATCATGGCGACAAGGCGTGGTTCGTATTCTTCGAATTCTACCAAATCCAAAGACTGACGACGAACATGTCGATGAATTTGAAGCGAAACGGCCGATGGTAGCGGTCTGCTCTGAGCCGGATTCAACTCTTCCGGGACCAAAAACTTTTTGTGACGTTAATTTCATCTCCTTGAAAACCGGCGAGTCAATACACAGCGTAGGATTCAAGCATTCTGTCTGCGATGTGTTGGCGAACAGGCGATCCGTGGTTATAACGTTATTAGAAAAAATTGCGGTCTTTGATGCTAGAACATTGCAAAATAATATAACAATCACGACTTGCTATGCCAGTCCTGGCCTGAATCCAAATCCCATCGCTTTAGGAACGCGATGGCTAGCTTATAGGTATAGAATTTGACACACATTTTATCTTGCGTTTTCTAACGATTTTAATACTTTATATAGGTAATAACATGATTTTATTAGATATAGGCTAATCACTCTTTATTTGCAGCGAGAAAAAATTAATACCCGCAAGAAGAAGTAGTGGTGGTTGCGAAGGGGAAGGCGTTCAGAGTTACACAGCGACGGTTTTATATGCGGCGAAGTCGCTAGGGAAAGGTCTTCGCGGACTAGGGGAAACCGTAGCGTCGAGTCTCACGGGGAATTCAGTATCACCGATAGCTATCAATAACACGGGCAATGATGTAACGCAACCAGGTGTCGTTACGATATTGGATCTTCAGATCGCGAAAGACGAGAAAGAGTTAGACGATACTAATGCGGATGCTGTAATTGCTCATTTTACTGCTCACAGCGACGCGATCGTTGCTATGACTTTCGACTTAACCGGCGCGTTATTGATGACAGCGGACAAGAGAGGACATGACTTCCACATATTCAGAATCCAGCCGCATCCCGGTGGATCAACACTAGCGGCGGTACATCATTTGTATATTTTACATCGTGGCGATACTACCGCTAAAGTACAGGTACATTTCTAATATTTTTATTGCTTACATCTTAATCATATATATATTTTAATTAAATTATATTATTATTGACATAATATAGCTACAAGATTTCATATAATTTGCAAAAGGTAAAAAATAATGAAATAATTGAAATTATATTAAAATATCTATCAAGATTTAAGATATGCATGTGTATATATATATATATACAAAAAAAATTCTTTGAGCTTATATAAAAGTATTTACTAGGGAATGGAAAGTCATTTTTGAAAAGTAGTTAATTACTGTTACCGAGTCAAAAGTAACTGTGGTTACCGTTATTAGTTGTTGATTCTCAAAAGTAATTCATAAAATATTCATGATGGCCCGAAGAGAAATCGAAACGTTTGGATTAGCATAAAGTACCATTTGGAATTTATCCATATTTTCAAAATATGAAAAGTAACGATAAAAGTAACTATAAAATTCATTACGGTGCCAAAAAAAATGTAACTACGTTACAGTTACCAGAGAGAATTGTAATGGTAACGGCGTTACAAATAAAGAGTTATTTCTGTTTCTTCATATTTACAGTATATTTATTATATTAGGACATGGTATTTTCGAGCGATACACGCTGGGCCGCTATTTCAACTGTAAGAGGTACAACGCATGTTTTTCCTGTCGCACCTTACGGAGGTCCTGTTGGCGTCAGGACACATTCCACACCCAATGTCGTCAATAGATTATCAAGATTTCATAAAAGTGCAGGCTTGACGGATGACGGTACCCGATCCCACTCTCCTGTATCTCACACCGAATTACCTTTGTCCGTATATCCATACTCTAATCCTCGACTTCCTCCATATCCTCATCCAACGATATTGCATCCTTTGTCGCAAATTCGACAACCATCTTCTCTGAATCAAATCAACAGCTCCACACAGCCGAGGTAGCTACTGCGTTTTGTAGAAAACTATAGAATTCCACGGAGAACTAACAATAAAATTTAATTAAAAGATACCGTAAATTTTATTACAGACCACAACAGAGACAACGATTACATTCTGACGATAATGGGACTTTACCGTTGAAAATTTGCGCGTGTTTCGCTCCGCCAAGAGCTTGGATGTATGCGCAAAGGGAATCCAGTAGCAAAGTTGTCAAAAGAGCAGTCGATTCTCTTTTCATCATGGCATGTCATGGAAATATGATACAATACGACTTGGATCCTAAACCAGCTGCTGGTATATTACACAAAGAGAGAATGCACTTTATATATTTTTTTTATATAAAAAAGAAATCAGACGATTTATATTATTCAAAATTCTTTTCTTGCGTATCATCTAATGTTTGCTTTTATCTATTTTAGGTGTGCCAAAGGAAAAAGTTTGTGACGACACCATGATTGAATTGGAAGTTGAAGCAAAAGGCCAATGGCCACTTTGTAGGTCCCCTAATTCGTCAGATCTTGTCCAACCGTTATCTCTGTCGAATCCATTACTTAGCATTTCGTTCGCACCAAAGAACAATCAGGAATTTGACACAATCGAGGATCGTTGGTTGAGTCAAGTGGAAATCGTAACACATGCTGGACCACATAGACGATTGTGGATGGGACCACAATTCGTTTTTAAAACTTATAATGCACCTAGCGGGTTGGTTTCTCAATTTTTGTCAATTATAATCACGATCTTACTGATCGAAAACGAAAATTAATCGTTTTCAGTGTTGCTGTCAATCTGGTCGAAGCGGAGGCAGTCGAGATTGGAATTACTGGGTCACGTCCAGCGAGATCGAAGCCTGTTAATATGCCTCATGCGGCGTCTAGGCCGTTGATGCCAGTTGTCATCGATGGATCAGGAAGTGAGTGTGCAATAATTATACTAGTTTAAACAAATTTTTTAATTACTTTAAATTAGAGTTTCTTATAAATTTTTGGATGTTGAAAACGATGCTGCAAGTTAAATTTTACTAGCACGTTAGGTTTCTGAAATAATTGAAATTTAAAATGGTTTTTTTTTGTTTTTTTTTTGTGTTTTTTTTTTGTAAAAAGAGTTAACATCTAATCTAATTCGAAGTAATTTTTTTACTATAAACTATTTTTATCTGTAGACTGCTTTCGCTCGTTGCATTACATGTTTTGATCTTCTTAAAAAAAAAGTGTGAAGTCTATTATAAGAATGAAATAAATTGGTTATATTAAACAAGAAATATCTTAGAACTGTACATATGAATTATACATAAGAAATAAACGCTTTTAAATAACGCAGTCTAGCTGGATCTTAAGTGCTTAAATAATTTAATGTGATTTTATATATTATATATATAGTCATTTAAATGCACCGAATTGATTTTTCAGCCTTTGGCTGAAATGCAAACTTGGTTGAACTAGTAATATCACAAATTAAATTGATTAACAATTTAATAATTTAATGCTTATAAACATCAAAGATTTTACTGATGTTAAATAACATACTATAATAATATATAAATAATTTTATTAAGTTGATTATATTTATAAGAAAATAAGATTTATTATACTTTCAGGCAGTTATGAGCAATCACCAAGATTCATGGAAGCTTATGGTGACCCTCTGGATAGCGAGAACGTGGCTGTTGGTAGCTGCGAGAGTCAACTGAGAGAGGATCTCGCGGAAGCTATGCTCGAAATATCAATTGCATCACATCGTGCTCCAGGTAAGTACGCAATTATGCAACAAAGTTTTATATTTTAGTTCAAAGCACTTATGAATGCAGGTCCACTTAATCGCAATATCATCAAAGCGAATAAATCGCTATATTCTGTGTAATTTGTGCAAACTATTTATATATTTATTTGATATATTTCATATATTTGCCCAATAATTTTGTACAATATTATAACTTTTGTACAATTTTTATCTCTTTGATAAAAAGTAAAGAATTATATTATTTTATATTATTTTTTATCATTATAGAGGAATAATATGGAAAAGATATATTAGATCAATAATTTTATGTTCTTATTTTCATTATTATCTACTTTGCCTGCATTCTACATTACCACGGGCGTTTTCTAACAAGAACACAATGTAACACAGTGAATTATTTCAATTATTTTTTAGCAAACAAGGATGTAATGATTTACATCTGATCTATTATATTTGTCGTATGATAAATTTTTTTAAACATATTAATTGACTGCAGGACAGAGAAATCCGAGAACCTCTTTGTCCTACAGTAATTAACTTGAAAAATTTGTCATACAATAAAAAATCGATGTAATTAGTCTTATAATGTTTCTTTGCTGGAAAACGTCCCATATTGTATAATTATTGTATTCGTTCTTTTGACGATTGTAAAATATTTTCATCAAATTTTTACAATTTTTTATATTGTGAGTATACATATATTCCGAATCGATTTCCCGAATCATGCATATTATATATGCAAACATTTATATGATGTACATATATAAATCTTGGAAATACAGAATGTCTGATAATTATTGACACAACGCTGGATAGGCAAAACGAAATTAAATCGAGTCGAAAAATCCTGTATTTTGCCATTTTCGCAATAATTTAAGGGGTGTTGGTGTGACGGCCAAACTCCGACGGAATTATTATTTTGCTAATTAAATGCTGCTTATACACATATGATACCTCTTTTTATTATCCGGAGACAGGAGCTAAAAGCAAAAGAAGAAGAAGAAGTTGCCGATTCATTGTAGAATCCCGGTTAGTTTACTAAATAAGTAACTATGATTTTTCGTACACAACTTGTTAGTTGTACAGCGAGTCGTTTACCTCAACTAATGGGAAAAAAATAAAATCTATTTGGCCAATCTTAAGAAAATCTTAGTAGTCTTAATCGTACAAGTTGACTGTTGGCCAATTTTACTAATTCACTGATAAGATTTAGAACTACCGATTCATTGTAGAATCAGCATTAAGGGAATTCTAAAGATGATTAATAAATACCATGGTACCCAAATATCACTCCCCGAGACACGCGAATAATACCCGGATACTCCGGTACCCGGATCGTATATTTTCCATTGGTATCCATATGTTTTCTATTTGTATGGTGAAATTCCGCGTTTTATAAATATAATTCTATAATATACAAATGAATAAGTAGAGACAATTTTGGCTGGATCTTGATGCCTAATAACATTTTATACATGTATTTTTTTTTTTTTTTTTTTTTTTTTTTTGTAGAAACCGAAAATAATCACATCAAATTTAAAGAAAAATTAAAGGGTACATTGAAATAAAATGGATAATTCTTATTTGTATAGTTATAAAATCACTGTCAGTTAATTCAATAATTTATTTATGAAATTAATTCCAAATACGAATAATATTGCACCACAAAACGTTAATTAGATAATACAATATTTTTCATTAATAACATTTGTTTCGGTACCGTTTCCTCCACTCCAAGCGTCGCGTATTGCTAAACATATTTGATATTTCTCAAATATATAGATTCAAACTTGTGAAGTTTGCAAGGTGTATAATCCGCGAACTTAACATTTGACATTTGATATGACATTGCGCGTATTTCGAGTTACCATTTTTTATTAGCAATATTGAGAAAAAATAAACAAAATTTTCGAAAAAAAAAAGTAAGAGAAATAATTATGCTTGATAGCGTTTCATGACGATGTTATCATGCTATATTAATACAGAATCTAAAAGTGTATTTCAAATAGAAAAAAATGATGTTCGTAAGATATTTTCTATCTCTGTGATATGTTTAACAATGAGATCATTAGTATTATAAGTTTGCGTGACACAGAACTGGCCAGAGGCAGGTATCTCCATTTTGTTCTCGTAACTGTATTATATGTTCGAGCACTAACAGTAAGATATTTTGTTGACGTCTGCTCTTTGTATCTTTGGAAAAAAAAATGTCCAACAAGCGGTATTATGTACCGTTCTTGTACTAACCATATAAATCCATCACATTTTGCTCGAGCTTCTAGCTTTATGTATAGCTTAGAATGAGACTTTTTTACAAACACATGTGTTTCTCTTAAGTTTGTCTTAACTTGACCCACGCATAATTGACACGCGTGTGGAGTATGCAAATGCAAAATGTAATTTAAAAAAAGACAAAAAAATTCAGATCATTCCTTTTTGTGAAACGCTCGAAATTTTATTTATCAAGCACCGATTCCTACAATTATATCACACTGAAAAAAAAGCTTGGCTACTACAACAAATTAGATGATAAGATATTGCATAGCATTTTTAATTGGCTGCAACAACCAATTTTTGGTTGCAGCAGTCAATTTTTGATTGTGTTAACCTATTAGTATAGAAATTAGTATAAGCTAATGCAATCAAAAATAACTGCTGCAATCAATTAAAAATGCTATGCCATATTCAGCCAATATTTTCTTTCAGTATAAAACTCACTAGCGTTATGTATATTTTCTTTAAATTTTGATGAATTTTGCTATGATTTTTTGTTTTGTTAATAAAGCGAAATCGCAATCATATATGATATAATCCCAAGTGAGTATATAATTATCACTATGCGGGTTATAATTATCACTATAAAATAAGAAAAGAAGAAAGAGAGAAACTTAAGAGAAAGAGAGAGAGAGAGAGAGAGAGAGAGAGAGAGAGAGAGAGAGAGAGAATGAAAGACACGCGTGAGCAGCGACTCGTAATATTGATACCTGCCTACGGCTTTTCTGTTACTAGGGAGGCGTATGGTATTTGAGAGGGTGGGTCAGCCGGTAACTAAAGTCGTCAACCCTCACACCGGCACCGTGATTACCGTGTCGGCCGACGAGGATGGGGACGCTATTAGCTCCATACAGGAGTACGAGTCCGCCGCGGAGGAGATGCACGCACCTAGAAGCGTGTGCGCCGAGGAGGGTCCGGCCTCGCTCGGTGCGGTTGATCTCCCAGATGAGTCGGACAGCCGGGCGCTGAATCGTAAGCTCACAGAGATCTGCGCGGAGATGCGCTCGGCAAGTGAGCCGGCGATCAACAGCGTGCTTGATGAGAATATATGCGAACTGCAGGATCGTCGTGCTCTATGCGCGGAGATGGCGGCCACGACGACAACAACGACGTCAATCGACTACGAAAAGGAGGAAGCGTTCTGCGAGGTGCCGACGAGTCTCAGCCTGTGTGCTCAACCAGGTGAGATTCCGAGCAGCCCTATGACACAGGCGAAAGAGACCGCGTTATGGTGCAGCAAGGGAAGATCTATCGACAGTCGTACTGAGGACTATCACAGCGAGGCTCACGAGAGGAATCTCGCCAAGGCCAAGTACGTCGTCAGCTACGACGATGACAGCGTTACGCTGATGGAGAACAAGACGATGCGAAGCGATAGGAGTATCGAGATATGGCAGTCGAACTTAGATGAGAGAGTCAAGAGACCTGTCGCGAGAAGAGCTATCGTTGATTCCGAAAGAATCTCAAGTTCCAGTACTATACAGAAACGCCCAATTGAACAGCGGATGACGCGTGCGGAAAAATATGTTGTTAAAGAGGATGATGATAGTATCATTATCAAAGACGCGCGTCGCATGGATTCGACGATGAATTTTGGCATGAGGAAAGAGGAAAATGACGCTGATAAAAAGAAAATGGAGAGCGCAAGAGATACTAAGGTAGCGAGAAACAAATATGAGATGATACGCAAGAATGACGAATGGAAGAGTCAAGGTTCTCCACAGGAATTCACCGATAAGAATCGAGTTATGCTCAAAAATAGAGAAATTAAATGCACGAGAGAGCTATCTTCTATTGACTTGTCCGAGCCAATGGAATCAATTGGTGACGTAATTGTGAAGAGAGAAAATCCTGTAAAACCCATGTTGGATGTGGAAAATGTGAGATTGCTATCTGATCATGACAATGAGTATGATAACGATAATGAATTGCTATCGTTGGATCCACCGCCGCCGGATGATTTCAGTTCCATTGAGTATCATATGGTAGAGCCATGCAATCTTGGCAAAGATGCTGCTTTGACATCCACTCAATCCGACGATGACATCGAGCACATCCACGAGTCTGAGGTGATGCAGATGCGGATGAAGGCTGACGCGGACAACGGCAAGTGCAAAGATGCAGATGTGACTATCAACACAGTCGCGCAATTTTCTTCTCCTATGATGCGACGGAAAAGTAGCAAGAGCACGATTTCAGACGATGATCTAGAGTACATACACAATGTCGATCTTGGTTTTGAATCCACGAATTCAGGCGATGCCGGTACGACGACATCTTTGACAAAGGCGAGCAATAACAATTCGCGTAGACGGCATAGTAGGCACACATTGTCCTCTGATGATGATCTGGAACACGTTCAGCTTTCGGAAGTCCATGAGTTGGAACTTGACGCGAGATTATCGCAGAGAGAACCTCTGCAGGCGACCCAGGAAATGACACCAGTGGAACAGCAAGGAACAAAGTCTAAGTCTGGTAAGAAACGAAAGGATATCATGGTGATTGAGAAAAACAAGGCAGAAGTCCCAGAAGTCACTGTAATATACAATCCACTGGAGGAGGTCTGGTCGAAGGAGAGCGATAAACGCAGTTCCACTGATTATTTTAAAGATAAGTCGGAAGGTCCAAGTCCCACGAGAAGGCTCAAAAATCGTGGCTCAAAGATAACGAATTTCTCATCCTCGCTGCTACCTGCCAAGCGCGCTTCTCAGATCACCGACAGCGACATCGTTGAGATTATCGACATCGACGCTATGCAAAAAGCTTCCGATACGACGCCGGAGTGCAAGATTTTGCCTGTCATTGCCGGGGCGCGAACTCGGAAATCTCGCAAGAGCAAGAGATCGCAGTCAGATGGTCAGTCACAAGAGAACAGCTCAACGGAGCTCTCTTTCTCTGTCCTTTTGCCTTCATTCTGTTCCTCTAATGTGAAAATGACGGAACTACAGGAGGCCGTGCAAGAAGCCGTGCGGGAAGAGCCGTTTGTGGAGCTCTGCTCTAAGGATCAGGACTCAAAAGCTCTACCTTTGGCAGAGATATCCTGGAGCTCTATTGTCAAGAAAAGCATCTCTCCTTCCTCGGATTCGCAGGAAATCCGCAAAGAAACGGATCTTGAGCCGTTGATAGAGGTGGAGGAGAAACTAGAGGCCGACGAACACGCGAGAAAACTGGAAGAAGCGAAATTCTGTGGCAGAGACAGTCCTACGTTTCTCGAACCTATGGACTGCGTGATGTGTGGACATCAGAGTACGCGACAACGAGCATATAAAGAGGAAGAAGAGGAGGAGAAGGAGTTTCTTTTCGATCAGGATGACATCGATCTGATGGCGACGATAACGGTCAAGGAGAGTATCCTTGTAGACTTTCACGCACCGATAGACGAAGAACCTCGCGTGGACAAGGACATCGCGCACAAAGCGCGAACCAAGATCTGTCGGGACAAGGAGGATAACAAAGCGACGGAAGGCAGTCCTCTTTTCGCTTCGGAAGTACGATCCGTCGTCAACGAGACACGTCGAGGTAACGTGGCAACCGAGAGGAGAGAATCGCAAAGAGAATCTTCTTTGCAGCTTCAACCGATGCAGCGACAACAGGTAGGGATCGGTGGCAACGACAGCACTACTGGGACGTCCGAACAGTACGATACGGCTTTCTCGAAGATGTCCCTGGAATCCGATTATGGGTACGCCGAAAAGCGAAATGAAGCGGATCGCGAAGCGCCTAGCGAGCACTCGATTGCCGCCAAAAAGGCGAGCTACAGATCTAAGAGGAAAAAACGTAGATGAGTAGAGGATTGCTGCATGGACGTGCCTAGGGCCAGCCTTGCTCTTTACATACTCCTAATGCAAGTGACAGGAGTAGATTAGCGTTCATACATAACGGAATAAGATCACATCGAAGTTCGAGCGTTCCATGCGCCTTGAAGAGCTATTTCGCATCGAGTAACGCCGAACGGCGTGTATCTCGTTATAATGCTAATAAAGTTCATCTTTGCTCCGTAATACGCTATCGATTTCCAAGAATTCGTTCCTGACACGAAAATTAATATTTGAGACTATTGCAACGATTCAACGGAAGACTTGTAAGTGAAATCGAAAGCGTGTCGCGCCATATATATATATATGTGAATATATTTCAAAATCGCGTTTCGTGTGGCCCTATTCTCATTTCGTCTTATCAATTAGTAATTGATATCAAAAGTATATATGCGCGAATGGGTGTTATTGTGTTCGGGCGGTATAGCGGGCAAGGTTGTGTTCTAGCCGATATTAGGACATTATTAGACGCTTTGACGCTAGTTCTAATTAAAGCGTAATAGAACTAACGAAAGAACTCCCAGAACAGGATCGCGTTTCGCCATCTGACAACCATGTAGCAATTTCAATTCGACTGCCTTAGATCATAAAGCGGTGATGGAGCTTGGATTGTACGTGGTACAAACAAATTGCGTGTATCTAGGTTTGTCCGGTATTATCAGTAACATAATTGTTTAGTGCAATTAACAACGCGTGATGAGCGTTTTTGGCCATTAGGTGTTCATTTACAGGATTGATCTTCTAACTAGCCCTATTCTCAAACGATGATCATCCGGTATACAATAGGCCACATTTCTTCGTTTTGGAGTACAAACATCATTTTTAAATTCATCCATCTTTCGTTTACTGCCTACTGATTACGTTTCTCGTCGAGCGACGGTAGTATACACAGGGGAATTATATTATCAAGTTGAAAAGATTTTTAATCATAATACTCTATACACAACATATAGTTTGGAATGACTATAATCAGAAACTATTATAAATATTTTTAATGTTTTAGCTGTACATATTGTTTTCGAGCACTTTTGTAACATTATTTGTTTTCGAGGACATTTTAAAAGAGAACTATATCATTGATCATTTATATGTAGTTCAGTATTTTCTGATAAATTGTTGATATAATAACAATAATGACAGTAATGATAGGATAGAAAAGAGAAAATGATAAAAGATCCTTTTTTGCTGTAATTCTTTAAGATGTGTTTTACATTCTCGAACGCGTTCATCTTTACACAAACCACGTCTATTTAAATTAATGAAAGTTTATGAAAGTATTGCTTTACTCACGTTTAGACACAGCCGCATATTGAAAAAAGTTTATTTGAGTATAAACTGTGCTCAGAATTAAGAAATTTAGGCAACACAATGCGAGGATCATAAGAACATTGACGATGTGAAGGATAAAAAGTCAATATTTTTCTTATAAATAATCTAAATAATGTATATGATTCCAGACACTTCGACCATTTCAAAACCTAACTAAATTTCATTCTCTCTCTCTCTCTCTCTCACACACACACACACACACACACACACACACACACACACACACGCACGCACGCACGCACGCACGCACGCACATACACACACACACACACTCACTCTTTTTGCCTTTCTCTTATAATTTTTCTATTTTTCTAAATTTTATATACTCTCTTTTTTCTCTATTCAAAAAAATTACACGCTGTCTACGAGGAAAACTCAATTTTTTTGTTATTTTGAGTAGCTGACTTTATAAGATTACGTTCTATTTATGTTGTATTTCCGAAAATGTAAGAAATCATGTAAAATAATTTGACTACTAATTTGATTTATATATAATTTTGACACAATCGTATTGTTAACGTCGATTAAATTTATTATTAAAACAATTTACTTTATTGTTTGATACAAACTATGTTTAGAATTCATAATGTTAGCGCAATTTATTAGTATATGTGATGTCATATAATCAGTATAATTTGTGCCGTATTGAAAATATCTTGCAGGAAAATTTATTATTAATGTCATCATGTCATATTTTATTATTTAACGTTTTATTCTTTTTGCTTTATTTTTTAATGAAGTATTGCCTGCAATTTATCTTCAAATTTGAATTATTTGCAAATTCCAGTTGAAGAGTTGCTTATATGCAACTTAATCATTGTAACATTTTTCTTTCTGAGACTTAATTTTTTTATAAATATCTCGCATATATGAATGTTCGAAGTGAATTTTAAGAATTTAAGAGAAAGAATGCATTTCTTCAAAAGAGAAAAAGATCAAAATATTAAGTTTCTTTATAAGTTTCTTTAAAAGCACTATTTTATTTTCTTTATATTTTGAGCTATATAAAATAATTTTTGAATATGTTTGAACCACTGAAATATAATAATACTGAAACGAGAAACAGCTCTATACCATCTTTATTAAGAGTGATCTAAGAGACAGCGTTTCAAGTGATATCTTAATTCTTTTCTAAGTTACACTACGCATGTACAGTAGATGATAGTGGGATTTCTATGATCTCGTAAAAAGTTAAAGTTTAGTGATATATAATAGTAAGTAGGAATATGTATATAAACTGTGGCCTTTGGTTCGCGTGGAAGTCGAAAATTCATGTAAAACAGTACAATTATAAACCTCATTTCGCTCCGTAAAACAATGGATTTTTTTTATCAACAATTTATTAACAAGTAACGAGCACCAATTAAAATCTGTTGGAAGTCACTCAGAGTCATAACATGTCAAAGTCAAGATCGAAGCTGAGTTTCCTATTGTAAATATTTACCTCATAAAAAATTACAATGTTATCATCAAATTGTTATAAAAAGTAATGAAAAAATAACAGAATATTAATTATTCCATTCTCTGCTTAAAAAAAATTAATTAATTTTTTTTTAGCAAAAGGTCAAACTGTATAGAATCCAAATCTGTAGCGGAAAAAGATTTTGATAACAATTCAAAATTTATATATCCAAAAAAGTAAACAAGAATTTTATAAAAAAGAAAAAGAATATTTTGTTCTAAAAAATCATATTTTTGCAAAAAAGCTGAAAAACTAAGTATCGCTTTATCAAGAAGACATCATGAACTTTTAAGAAGAAAAAATGGTTTTAAAAATAATTATTTTAATGATTTTAAAAAATATAATTATTTTAATAGATGTAAAGTTGAAATATTTTGAGATTCATTGAATGGCATCATCATTGAATGATATGCTCTCGATTTCTCTGAAAATACTACTTTTTTTTTTTTAATGTATCCTTTTAATAATTTAAATTATACTTTATTTAATATATACTTTTATCATTATACCTTACGCAGTGTAAGTATTATTAATTAACTAATTTTTTTTTAATTTTAAAGTAACTATCCGGATTGTGTGAAAAATGACATTTTTACAATTTGATTGGTTAGCTGGATAAATTAGATGATCTGAATCGCACGTATTATAAAAAATGGCCGGAATTGCTGAATATTCGGCATATCCATAGTATAAATCAATAAAAAAAACATAGAAACAAAAAATGTTTTACATTGAAGTGAAAAGATTCTAGAAATGCTCATATACTTTTAATCATTAACTTTTAGGTATTTCGTATAGATAACACTTAAAAAAAAAAGTAAAAACCCCGATAACTAAACGTGTCAGCACGTTATATGCTATACTCAGCACACCATACAAGCACTAGCACTTCTGTGCTATTTTCTGCCAATAAAGCAGATGATGTTTGCATGGTGCTGTCACTAGTTACGACATACAGTCAAAATTTTAAGATTGATTACTGGGATTTTACAAGCACAATGTTCGCACAGCGCATAGATTATGATGTGCTATCAGTATATTTGTCAGGTACGAAGTTAGCTGAACATCGTACTGACAAGTGCATGTATTATGCTGGCGTCATTAAAAATATTTTGTTAGCTGAGAATATGTGGCATTACTACTTATTATATCAATTTTGAAGTTTATTTTGTTATCTTACAAATAAGTTAATTATTGCAAAATTCGTAATAGTATTATAAAATCAGTACATTATATTGGGTTGCCCGGAAAGTTCGTGCCGCAAACGATTTAAATTTAATAAATGAAATTAAAAATTTAAATCTGCGTTTCAATTTTCCTTCAAAATCGGCACGAACTTTCCGGACATCCCAATAAAAACTAACTATATATTATCTATAGAAGACAATTTTGTATTTATGTGCTCAAAATTTTTATTTTTTGTTTTTGTTAAAGAAATATAATCCAAAAACAAAAAGTGTAACAGTATTAATGAATAACAACAGTATTAACGAATAACGAGCGAAAATCTGTTGGATCATGAATTTGACAACATATGTCAAGGTGAAGGTCATCTGGGCAAGTTTCCTTCATTGTTATATTTATCGAACATAATACTTTTTAATTTCAGTTTCTACACAAAGCATGAAGCTCTTTACTAAAAGCAGTAGGCAACAATTAGAGAAACAGTTTTCAATTAGAAAAAAATTGTAAACAGTTTGAAGGATACTTTCTAATTAAGCAAATTGTGAATGTAATGCTCCTTGTTCTCTAATAAAAAATTAATAAAGTTGTTCAAAGGTTGCATACTATATAAAGAGATATTTTATAACTGTTATAAATTAGCTATCGTGGATGTGCTCGTGGAGTAAGTAGAACATCCACGTCATAACTATCAATTAAACACGATAATCTTTTTTCTTTAATTGAATCAAATTAAGCTAATTTTTCTAGTTTTTGTTGATTTTTTTTAGTATAAAAGTTTTAAGTTTTTTCACGTAAAAATCGAATTTGTAAATAAAAAATATCATGTTTCATAAGAAAATCGACTTCCATTCTGAATTTTCCCGTACGGTATCGAAAATTGAAAATATCACTTGATACATCATTTACTCATAAAAATTTCAGACGTTTTATGAAAACAACTTCTCTTGTAAATGAGTGACGTGAGTTACTAATTGATTTTGAATAAATAAATAAAATTTTTATTAGAAAACAAGAGGTCATGCACTTAATGCTTTGTCTCATTAGTATCCTTTAAGGAGTTCACAGAATTTTTATTAATTAAAAACTGATTTTCAAATTCTTACCTACTTTTTGTCAGTGTACAACAACTTTAATATGTGGTATTAGTGTGTCCAATTATATTCTAAACCTTTTCTATCTCTTCTTATTCCTTCGGATTTTCGAAATGTCGAAGTGGCTTATGCAGACGTGTGCTCTATGTGTAAAAATTTCTTTCTGTTACACGCAAAATAGAAAACGGGGAGGAAAAAGTAAAACGTGTTCAACATTGCCACTGGTACATAAAAAAAGTGTGTAAGCGTGTGTGTAGATACATATAATTACGTTTTTTGTATATCGTAATTAGCGATAAAAAAAAAGAGAAACAGGTATCGTGTGCAATAGAGTATCGAAAAAAACAATTACAAATACAATAAACTGAGAAACTCTTAAGAAAAGTGTTGAAAGAGGCGAATCTTTTATTGATTAAGAGATCAACTATTATCAATTTGAAACTGAGACTGGGGAGTGTAAAAGGTGAATCACGCGAGAGGCATTAACATTGCCTGATTATCGTCAGACTAATTATTATCAGCATTGAAATAAATATAAGTTTCTTTCAGGAGATAGAAAAATCGACTGTTTCGCGATTATTACAAATAAGTATATATTATAAGAGTATAGGATAGTTTACCATGTGTTATATAATCTCCTCGAGAATTAAAAGAAAAAAAAGGGAAAGAAATACATCTTAACCAGCGGTAATTGGATCAGTAAACCGTATCTCTGAATAATAGTATATCCGAGGAAAAAAAATTTATTGGCGTTAACTAACAGCAGTCTAATTAAAAATAATTTTGATAATTCAATAACTATATTAATCTATTAAGAGTGACCTCTGCGCGCATGAGCAGCGCTTTTGACCTAATATTCATTTAACCGC